GATACAAAAAAATTGTTATTAACCTGGCAGAGGTGGAAAAGGGGATGACGGCATTCACATTGATGATGTCGCCCGCTCCACTTATGTTGCCGCTCCAGAGCTGATAAGCCTTGAGATAACAACTTTGGAACGGATTCGAAGGCGAGGAGGCCCTAAGATGCGATGGGCAGAAAGGAATATAAATACAGCAAATCTTTGTGGGAAAGCAGTGACTCAAAGTCAACAATATTGTGGCTTGGACTAATATGGCATCTAGCCATTTATTGGAATGTTGGGAATTCTGTTCCGAATCTCGGGACGGATGGTAAGCTTGAAGTCCCATCTAAAAGAGGAACATCAATAATGCTTGTGCTAACACAGCTATACACATATATTCACATGAATCCACAGCGACACTGTTCATACAGTGGCTTACAGCTTGGCAGAGACAGCGCTTCCGCCGTCGAGCGTAATAGTCGCGCCGTTCACAAATGCACCGGCACGGCTACTCAAGAACAAGCAAGACCCGGCTACATCTTGTGGGGTTCCAATGCGACCCAAAGGCACACCAGCCCTGATAGCGTCACCAAATGATTTTAAGGTGGCGGCCATCATCTTACTTTCGAAAGGACCACAGGCCAAGGTATTAGAGCTGTAAACCAAATCAGTCCTCCATTCATCAAGGGAAGCAAAGCACAGCAGGTGTACTTACGTAATATTTCGCTTGCCCAGGTGGTTAGCGAGTACTCGGCTCAAGTGGTGCAATCCGGCCTTGCTGGAACTGTATGCGAATGTCTCGAGCAAGGGAACACGGAGTCCATCAATACTGCCAATATTGATAATTCGAGAAGGATCCTCCGGTGTAGCAGCCTTCTCCAGGAGGGGTGTGACGAGCTGGGTCAAATCGAAGACGCGGTGGAGGTTGAGGGTGAGGACTCGTGTGAAGGCCTCGGAGGGGTATTCATCGTAGGGGGCGCCCCAGTTCGAGCCGGAGTTGTTGACGAGGACGTGGAGCTCTAGAAGAAAGGGGCATGTTGTTAAGAATGATACTATTGTCCATTGTACGTGGTGTCTTACTGTCTTCGCGCTTGCCCAGCTCCTCGGCCAGCTTCTTCACGTCCTCAAGCTTATAAAAATTTGCCGGAATGGCGTAGGCTTTGCCTTTGCCTAGGGCATTGAGCTCCTTGGCTGCCTGTTCGCATGCCTTTGCATCACGAGATGAGATGTAGACGGTGGCACCGTTTGTTACATAGCCCTCGGAGATCATGCGGCCGATGCCCTTGGCTCCACCAGTGACTAGCACCACCTTGTCCTGCAGCCTGTTAGAATGGTTGGGGGGGGGAAAGTAGAGTATGTGGCGATCTAACCTTGACGTTGAAAAGACTTGCGGAATCCATTGTGAGGTTGTAATTTAGACTTAAGGCATGAAGAAGATCAAAGTCAAGAGGCTACTTTTGTTACATTGGAATTTGTAGCTCCCCCTCGTTACATCCACCCCATGCCCGAGACCGAGATCACTTGAAACCAGCCGAGGCACGCGGAACGGGAATAGATTTACACCGAGATTCTTGCGCTAGTCTTCTTTGGGGCAGAACTTAGGGCTTCATCGTCAGGGTTTCGCGGGGTCTCTGGTCGAGGTGTTTTGCCTGTTTTCGTTCATAGCATATACCCCCATTGCAATAGATTTGTTGATTTTCTGTCCTTTCGCTATCCGACAATGGAAGAACTTCTATCAAAACACCGCAAAGAGCAAAAAGATCTTCAAGGGCGGATCACGCAAAAGAAAAAGTCCGCCACCAAGAAAACTCGCAAAGGAGTCAACGATGAATGCGAGCAAATGCAGCGCGATCTGTCAGAGAAACAGCAGGCCGAGATTGCACATTTAAATGGAGATCCGACTGAAGAGCTCGAGGATCTCAGTCTAGAAGATGATGAACCGGCAGATGACGAAGACTCGAAACACGACAAACCCGCCGATGAGTCACAAAAAGCAGAACCAACGGCCGAGCCCACCCCAGAGCCTTCCTCTGCAACAAATCCAAGAAAGCCCAATCGCCAAAAAGCCCGTCTCGCACGGCGTGCAGCTGAGCAAGCCGCCCAGTCAGCTGCCGCAGCAGAAGAAGCCGCAACGCAAATAAACTACAGAGGCAATGAACAGGAGGTCATGGACGCTGTATTCAAGAAGCTGGGGCTGAAGGAAATCGAAGTGACTCCGGATGGACACTGCCTCTACTCAGCAGTCGCCAAACAACTCGACGAGTCCGGGCTCGGCTTGCGGCCGGACCCAGGCCGAATGGTCCTCCAGCCCGCGACACAATCACGCATCGACACAGTCGCCTCCCCACAACACGATGGCTACAGAGCTGTCCGAGCTGTCACGGCGGACTTCATCATGGAACATAAAGAGGACTTCGAGGCGTTCATGGAAGAGCCCCTCGAGTCATACACTCGGAAGATCAAATTGACTGCCGAGTGGGGAGGGCAGTTGGAGCTTCAGGCGATTGCCCGAGCATACGGTGTGGAAATCAACGTTGTACAGAAAGATGGGCGAATGGAGAAGATCGAGTCCGGTGACAGCGACAGCTTCGATGAGGAAGAGAAGCGCAAACGCGTTATCTGGCTTGCGTACTACCGCCACACCTACGGACTCGGCGAACACTACAATGCCCTTGTGAAGAAGTCCTAAGCTACTCAGTTCACGTGATCCCATTTTGCCTTGGCTTTTCCAGTAGAGGCCTGACTGTGCAATTGAAGACCTGTTTTTGTCTTGGTGATTTTTACGAAGTGCTTTTAAGCTTTTCGGCGGCTTTAGTCACGATGACGCCAGATCGAGACTCGGTCGTGGATCACCCCGTTCTCGCCCTGGCCTACCTCGTGTGTGCGCTCGGGCTTCCAATACGCCACTCTTTCCAGGCCGTCGTTGCTCGGTGCCCGTAGAGGTTCGTGCTTGACGACGCCTTTGGCGTCGTAGGGAATCTCTTCGCCGGGGTGGCTCAGGTGTGCCACGTACGCTTCCGATGGAGAGGCATATGGAGGGCCTGGGGCTTGGGGATCCTTGTGACGAGGGAACTCGAGGCAGATCAAGTTGCCCGTCGGCGAAGGGGCCAGAAGCTGGGTCTGTCGGCGCGCCCATTTGGGTCGCATCGATGGCTCCAAAGCACAGAAGAACTGCATGATATTTAGCGTGAGCATAGTGAACATAGCAACATGAGATACAGAAAAAGAAGATACATGAGTCTTGTTATTAGTCAACAAATCCTGTGGCTGTATGCCCGCATTGCGATGAACATCACAACATAGACAAACAGCCAAGCAGCAACACTAGGAACAAAAAGGGATCCATACCGTATAATCATAAATTAGATCAAATCCATTCAACGGCACATCAATCTCCTTCAACCAAGCATCATCGAAAAAGTCACCCTGGATCCAAGTGACCTTCCCGGTGCCGACAGTCTGATCGCGGACACGATACCAACTGGTATTATCGGTCTCCTCTTTCTTGCATGCGTTAACCGCAGCCGCGCTATACTCGAGGCCGTAAGCATCGTAGCCAAAGCTTGCCAACAAGAGGACATCCACACCTCTCCCGCATCCAGGAACGAGAGCCTTCCGCCTGTAAGACTGGCCCTGTGCATCGGTGACGACAGGTGCGCCAATTGTCGGGCGCTGTTTAACGAGCGTATCTTCCAGGGCGGGATTGGGGAATCCCCGGTCCCAGGGCAGATTATCGCCCTTGTCCCAGAGGGAAGCCCAGCCCTCGACGTATTTGTCGCCCGCGTATTGGGAGAGGTGGGCCTGCACCTCCTTTGGGTTGATGTTGGTTTGCATTGGGACGGTTTTTTTGGTCTTGGTCTATGATGCGATCTCACGGGGTGATGTTCTACTGCGTGGTAAGAAGGATGCGGTAGTGTTCACCGTCTTTATGCCATGTTGACCTCCGGGGTCCATTGCCTAGTCTTCTAGGCTTATTAATCACCCCCTTGCAGCCTTGGAGCCCTGAGGTCCACCTGTATTGAAGGTACTGATTAATGATCCGCTACTCTGTGCACAAAATGTTTCGGGATTATTCAAGTTCCACTCCCTGTTCTCCGGATTGAATCTGTGATTTAATCATAGCAAGTATACCTCCACCTACCACCTACATCTGTGCTATAGGAATAGAATGGGTAGACCTACGAACTCCCTATTATAAGCGTATGTGGCATGTACCTATATTGTAGGTGAGTCAACAACTCCAAGCTGGTAGAAGGGCCCGGTAGTTAGCTTGTGATGATGATACTCGGAATTTTATTGAGACAGCTAAAACAACGTCCGGGGAAGCAGGGGTAATTAAGCGATAACCAACACGAGTCTATTTCAACTGTAAAAGATGTGCTTTCTGATTTCATCAGGGCACTTCAAATTCGGTTCCATCATACAACATACGGAGTAGATTTCGTGCTATCATTGAACATCTAGGCCACTGCAAATCTCTACACTCCCTCGGGATAGTCGCCTTCAGTATTTGCCGACGGAAGACCGGCACACTCGCGCTCAACGATGACTGGCTCTATAGGCCGGCTTATATCGTTATACGATAGAACATGTACTAGCGTTGGTATTTTGAAACCCCATTTAGCACTAGTCCCTTGGAGGGCAACAGATGTATCACTCATGGCACTCGGTCGCTGTCGGTGACTGTCGGTGATCGGCCAGACAGTCTCCATATGTGTTCTGATTTTTTCTCTTACATCCCCCCCCCCCCCCCCCCAACGACGATATCTAACTGCATTCACTGTTGTAAAATAGACCTGCTGATCTTCGAGGCACATTAAGGTAGGGGATCGACGTTCTCAACGGAGGGTGCCCAACTGGTTCTCTTCAGGGCTCCCACAGGGCTATTTAGAGTTGAACTTAACTTGATTTCATTCTTGTAAAGCTCTACGTGCCTTTTATTTTTTTTTGGAATTCGGAATTGTTCTATGTGTAGTTGGAGAAAGTTGGCTTTTCCAGGCTCTCACATACAATATACCTCTAATATGCACGGGCAACCTGAGACGGACAGCATCGTCGCATCCTCGAATAGCGGAGAAGATCCGACGAATTGTTGTATAGCCGAAACAAAGTTGAAAGTTGATAATGACATCCACTCCCTATCGGTTGCCTCCAGCAATACTGCCGATGATGAACATGACCTAGAGAATCCTCCACGTCTAGAACGTCAAATGACGGAGCTTGGTCCTCCCATCAAGGTCGCCCGGCTCAAGCGTAGAGGCTTGTTCGGGCAATTAGCATTGGTGGCAGAGGTTGAAAACCCAAGAACATATCCTCGCAGGATGAAATGGTTCATCACATTTGTTGTCGCTCTTGCCGGAGCTACAGCACCAATGGGCAGCGCGATCTTTCTCCGTGAGTCTCCCAGCACAAATTGGGGTATTCGGAAGGTCATCTCTAATCGATCTTCTACCAGCTTCACTATCACAAGTGACAAAGGAGTTGAAGACAACAACTACCATCACTAATCTATCGATCGCGCTATACATGCTGGCCATGTCGATATTCCCATTGTGGTGGTCATCATTCAGCGAGCGATTTGGGCGACGGACCATCTACCTAGCTTCTTTTACTCTCTTTGTGGTCTTCAACTGCCTTTGTGCCAAATCAGATTCTATTTCAATGCTGATTGTAATGCGAATGCTGAGTGGTGGCGCTTCGGCTTCTGTTCAGGCCGTTGGAGCTGGCACCATCGCCGATCTCTGGGAATCCAGAGAGCGAGGACGAGCAATGGGTATCTTCTATCTAGGTCCGTTGTGTGGACCTTTGTTTGCACCCATAATCGGTGGCGTCCTAGCCCAGCGCTGGGGATGGCGGAGCACCATGTGGTTCCTCTCAGCATTTGGTGCTCTCACTCTTATCTTTATCGTGTTCGCCCTTCCCGAGACATTGACCGCACAAAAGTCTGGGATGGCTGAACTTGACGACGACGATCCAGCTATCAGCCGCTCTTTGAGTCGAGTCGAGTCGCAGCAGGTAGTTCGGTCCACCGCGAAGTGGCTCAAGACCCTGAGGATGATTCTCATTGATCCACTTAAAATCATTCTCTACCTCCGTTTTCTTCCGGTTCTTCTCAGTGTGTACTATGCCAGTATCGCTTTTGGTTCCCTCTATGTACTCAATATCAGTGTTGAGAACACGTTTGGAAAGGCGCCATACAACTTCTCCACCACCATCGTTGGTTTGCTGTACATTCCAAATTCGCTGGGCTACATTGTGAGCAGTATCTTAGGAGGCAAATGGATGGATAGTATCATGCAACGGGAGGCGAAGAAGGCAAATCGATACGACGAGAAAGGCAGACTGATACTACGACCGGAAGACCGAATGCGTGAGAATGCATGGCTGGGTGCCTTCATGTACCCGGCCGGCTTGATTTGGTATGGCTGGGCGGCAGAGAGGGGAGTCTTTTGGCTTGTCCCAGTATGTCAACTCTCAATATGGGTCCCCGGACACATCAGTAGCACTCGCTAACTCCAGCAGATGATTGCCAACTTCTTCTTTGGCATGGGCTCCATGCTCATTTTCAGCATGGTAACCACTATGCTCACGGAATTCATGCCGAAAAAGTCCTCGGAGGGTGTAGCTCTCAACAACTTCATGCGAAACATCTTCTCCTGTGTGGGTACCGTCGTCACTGCCCCGATCATCGATGGTATCGGCAATGGGTGGCTTTTCACTATTCTCGGCCTGCTCGGTTTCGCAAGCAGCTCCGTCATCTTCTTGATGAGAGTCAATGGCCCTAAATGGAGAAAAATTTTGGACGCGCACTTGCAGGCATAAGTTGTGTTTGCTCTACCTTACGCATTGCTAGGTTGTTTTTTTACCTCTGGTGCTTGAGCACATATGTTTAGTATTAACTCTTAGGTGACAAGGGCCTGGCATTCACACCATGCACAACTGGCATCAGCTGTTTTGTACACACTTCTCACCAAAACAAAATCTCTACACCTTACTCTGTCTCTTCATTCAAGGTGAGCCGCTCGCCGCTCTCCAGTTCTTTTTTTTTATCTATCTATGTACTCTCAACAAGAGTATTCGACTGCCCATGCAGCTTCTGTTCATGACGATTGAAGACTTACATAATCTGATCTATTTGGCAAGCTTGTAATGAGGACATCCTATGTGAGAACACTCCGATGTTCTTTTTAGATTATTTTCGTTGTCTTTGCTTTTCGGTCGAATGATCTTATGAAGGGACAATGAAAAACATCACGAGGTAGACAGCTAGTAATTTTGCGATAATACAAGGCATTGAAAACCATGAACTGTACAAAGGGCTTTTTTGGATAATCAGGATTCCTACTGTTTCCTTCGGGATTCAGATCGATTTATCACCAAGAAACGATACCCATTGTCAACCTATGCGACTTCCACTAACATGGGTACAATCATTACCCACCTTCTATCCCATGGGACCCCTAACCTCATATTGAGAACTACACTTCTTTAGAAGCATTCAACCCGTGTTCCTTCAATTTTAAATGCCAAGCTTATGCGTATCAGGTTTTACAAATTTAATATATCGTGCGTACTCTCTTGGCCTAGCTACATTCATGTGCACTATACCAAGAACTAGTCGGTCGACGACAACATGCACTTGTTGAGAAAGCAGACCTTTCATTCATCAGGGGAAATCGATTGCGTATGATGAGGTTAGCTATGTTTTTTTTCCCTCTCCATGTGCATCTCAATCTCTACTCAGTGTGGGGTGCTCCGCGTCGAAAGAAAGAGATAGATTTGAGTGAGACTGCACGTGTTAATTCACCGGCGTGAAAAACAGTGAGGCAGCCAATCAGAGCTTCATCAGGCCATGTTCTTGACTAGCCAGCACTTCTGGCGAACAATCGATGCATCGGTCATGAGGGGAAGGGGAAATCGCCGACGGGATCACAGAGTAGAGGGTTTTATGTGCTGTAGTTACAAGGGTCTACGACGTTTACACTTTTTAAGCGATGTTTATGAATACTTTTCGAACCCTGATCAAACAAGCGCTTTACTGGCAGGATTTTTTAAATCTCACCTTGATCACTCTCTAGTAGATCTGATGCCGGCAACATCCCTACCAATTTAACTGCCACTCGATATTGTATGCTCCAAACTACCTATCCATTCACTGGTTCAAATCTCAAACTTAAGACACCGAATGAAAGTTTATTAACCTTGAGACCTCTCCTCTCCGATCGGCATGTCCCTTTCAAGTGCATAGGTAATACGAGAACTGCCTGGCGAAAATGGACTGGTGATGTTGATGCCCATCTATTTCTTGCAGAGTCCAAGAGTTCAACGTATTCGAGAAAAGATACATAGGACCCAAGAGTCTTGGCCCAATTCTGAGAATAGAAGCAAAGCCACTGATAGTGGTTACAAATGCGATGGGTTTCACCTCGAGGACCGCCATTTGCTAACCACACGCAACACGGCATGGATGCTCGGCCCGCTACATGGAGTTGGGCACATACTTTGTCGATGACCCTATCTGGTGATTTGAATGAGAGCTTGTATCGGGAAGTACAACATATCGGGAAACAACACGAAAAGTCAGCACCGAGATGATCCACTAGAAAAGCGAAAAGTGGCCTAGACACGCATGCAGCTCTTTTGAGACCCGAGCGTTGGCTTTGTTGTACCTATCTATACCCTGAGGTACATAAGGTCGAAGTGAACACATAAACTATTTCCGAAGGCGAAGATCCCAGTGACGAAGCCATTCTAAAGCGACGACAGATCGATCAGATGGCCGTGGGGCACTTCGTAGGTGGACTAAGCTGGATGCAAGAATTCGCAGGCAAATTGTGTTGGTTTAGGAGTGGCTGGTATTGAAGCGTAGACCACAAACTCCATACTGATCGGCTGTACGGAGTACTCCGTAGTTTGTAGCCATAGATAGAATGGAAATCTGAAAATCTCGAACAAAGCAGAAACGAGGGAGAATTTGATGTCCAAGTCCAATGCGCATTATCACCTGACCACAAGAAACTCCGGGTTTCGCCATTTCCCCTCTCTTTTTGCTTCGTACAGACCACTTGGATGCAGTCTACGATGTCGAACTGCATATTACATCACCATTTCAACTGCGGGCTCCCTTACAGTTGAGTATCACAGAATTATTGTTCCCGGGCGAAACTTCGAAGTGTCGGTGTCGAAAGTGGAGAGAGATTCAAGTATCCACAACTCCATCGGCTCCATCGGCTCCATACAACTCCATTCCCAACCACCCCGTTTTCCAGTTTGATTCTAAGAATATGCAAAAAATTGCTCGAAGTTTCAAGATTTGCCCCCCCCCCCCCCCAATACCAGATCCCGTCCGAGGTTATTTGTTCTGGTCTCCTCACTCACGGTGTACTTCGTACGCCTAGATCCTGTTTGCCGCCGCTACCGATGCACGTTGGGCAGAGATGGATCTGCATCGCCTCTGCATCGCCTATTGATCTCCCTACTGAAACATTGCCTTCGTGGCTTTGTGTACTGTACACTTGCGAAGTTCCCTCGGCCCAATTCATTTGATCATCATCTTGGCATGTGTCTGTGTGTAGTATCCAGGCCCAAAAACAACACCAGAACCAAAAGATGACATGTCAAATTCAGTTATAATTCAATTCAATTCATTCGATGGCATTCGCCCCACTTCAAAGGACCCAGTTTCTCCATACCCCGGCACTGCCTTTCCCCTCTTGACCGATTTGCCCCGGTCCCCAATCCTATCTCGCCATTTGCTGCTTGATGCTGCAGCTATTCCTGCGGGTAGGGATCACGCTGCTCTCACCCGGCCCTAACCAAGCACTGGACCTCACTGAACCACCATATCGGTCCTGGAGATGGAGACCCGATGACCAACGTGGCCCAATGACGATTGACTTTATCGGGCAGTTCAGTGGTGACGTTCAGGGGGCAGGACCGTAATGCACTTTGTTGTTGTCCCATCCGACTGCATAGAAGACGAAGTATTATACGTCGCCTCACCATGATTGTCCAATGCGACCTCTGTGTCACCGGAGAAACAAGCATATCCTTCCTTTCTCTATTAGTACTCTAATACATGAAGTACCCTACCCAGTTTCACACTCCTCAATTGTCCACATTTTGTATCTTTTTGTTCCTCAATTTCCCTGGCCGCCCCATTCTTTACCGTGCATCGAGCCCGACAAGGCGGCTTGTCAACTTCCCATTGTCCCGGTTCGTCGCATCATATCACGAGCCAGTCAGCCTCGCCCTGGCCTATATATGATACGTCATTGACCGGGGATTATGTCCGGTAAGGGTAAGAAAAAGTCCAAGAACAATAAAAGCAACAACAACCGCCCTCCCGTCGGCTCTGCACCACCCCCTGAACTCGAGAACAAAGACCTCGTCGATCCTGCCCCGGACTCGGCGGCAGCCGCTGTTGAGAATGACTTACAAGTATGCCGAATTCCCTCAGTACTCATATGCATCGGTCCAACGTCAATATTCGGCCTTTGATTATGAGACTAATTCTTTCCATTTCTACCCTGTCACCTATTCAACGACCGATCTGACCGAGGGCCAAAACCAGGACAACAAGGAGCCCACCACCGAACCGGAGAAGGACCCTGCCTCTGAAGATCCCCCTACCGCTGAGCCAAGTGGCGATGACAGTCCGGCCGCTGAGCCTACAGGTTAGTACTCGTTTCTGCAGATGATAGATTCTATCGTTGAGGAAACTCTGGTCTAGACTTGGTACTTGGCAATAACATACATTGTGCAGATCACGCGGAGGCTGCACCAACAGCCGAGGCTCAACCAGGCGAGGCTGCTCCAGAAGCTAAAGAAGATGGCAAGGATGAGCCAGTGCCAGATGCAGAGAACCCTGAGGCTTCCAAGGAGAGTACCATACAAGATGCAAAGCTTGACGGTGATGCAGCGCCCGAAGGCGACGCAAAGCCTGAAGAGGAATCAAAGCCTGAAGAGGAATCAAAGCCTGAAGGAAATACAAAGCCCGAAGGTGAAGAAGATGCTCCAGCAGGCGAAGACCCGAAAAAAGAAGGCGAGGGTAACAATGGTCAGTATCCAAACTTACGTTATGCCTTACAAAGCTGACAGTATGTAGATGAAGGTTTCCCAGATCTTGATCTAGATGTAGATCCCGCGGCACTAGCGGCCGAGAAAGAGGCTGTTGCTAAAGCGGCCGCGGAAGACGCCCTAGAGAATGCGGAAGATTCACCAAAGGCCGATGCAACCCCTGCTCCAGAGGAACCCGCAACCCCCGAGCCAGTCCTGGAGGTGCCAAAGACGGAGGAAGAGCAAATGAACTTGGGCAAGAAGAAGAAGGGCAAGAAGGGCAAGAAGGCAGCTGAGCCAGAACCAACGTCAGAACCAGAACCAGCCGCCAAACCAGAGCCAGAGTCAGT